TGACCACTTGGCCGTTAGAACAGGGGTCAGGGTTTGACTTTTTAGGCTAGTCCTGACTAAGGCCGCGTCGTGGAAAGAGAGCGACTTGTCGGGCAGCAAAGGAAACATACTCATGTGCCACTTGACGACCCGCTGAACGGCCACTTGGCAGTTACAACAGCTAGGGTTTTGATTTCTCCGCTCTTTGGGTCGTCCGACAAGGGCTGTGTACAGAGCATGATCTCAGTTGAATATCCCACGCTGAAAGAGGTCAGCCTCACGTCTATCAAGGAAAATGAGGGCACATCAAGGAGGCTGTTGCCGACAACAATTAACGAACAGACAAATAACGAACAGGTTGCAAGCCACCAGATAGCAACTCTTCTGGTTGGTGTCTGTCAATCCCCAATAGATGGGTTGCTGCAGCCAGCCTGGCTAATTAGATCACCGATTGTATGAGCAACTAGGCGATGGTGATTAGAAAATTAAGCGCTTATGACCTTCAGATCAAGCGGTAGTAATGGTAAATAGACTTTTGTTGCTTGGGAATCAGGCTTTATGCGCTCTCGTTCCTGCATATCAGTGTCTAATCAGGTAATCATGAGTTATAAGACTGCAAATGAGATGGTAATTTGACGTCAAGCTAACTGTTGGTCACGTTGTATCAGGCGACAAACTAAGAGTCTGTAACTCTTAAATTGGTGACATGGAGCGTGCAAGGGTTACACTGGGTTGGACACTATGAAGGTCAATTGAGAGAAGGGGTATACTTTTAGTTTGCAAGAGAAGGCCAACCAAAGGTCCATATTGTGACATGCAGCACTTCACGAATGGTTAGTGGGGGATTGACAACCCTTCAACAATCAAAGTGAAGAACGGAAATAAACGAGATCGCAGGTGATTGAATGCTACTTGCCCACAGAACAAGTAACGACCAAATACTCGGGTATTTATGACTCCTCGACAGTGTCGTCCCCCGTACTTCGTACGGCCGCCGTACTTCGTACGGGGGGTCCGCGTACGGCCCGTGCATACGCCTGCATGAACGTCTGTACGAGCGTACGGACAATTCTCGTCCGAACGTGCCAGGGGGCGCTGGGGGGGTGTCGGGAGGGGTCTGAGGGCCTGCGGTGGCGGGATGGGTGTGGAGGGTCACTGCCATGTTTCAAAAAAAAAAAAAAAAAAATTCAGCTGAAAAACGAAAAAAAAAAAACGACTGTCTGCGTCCCCACAGGGCTTAGCCTGCTAGCCTGTGGCATGGGCCATGGCAGTTTGGGGGGGCAGACCCTGGCCCATGCCACAGGCTGCCAGGCTGAGCCCCACAAGGATGTAGGCAGTCTTTTTTTTTTCATTTTTCAGCTGAAAAAAAAAATCAAGGCAGGTGGAATCGGGGGCCTTGGGGGAAGGAGTCTGCCCACATCTGCATATATAAGTGAGATTGTGGGCGTCAACACCAGCAGTTTGTGTTGTTGGCGATGCAAGACTGCGGGAGGCTGTCATTGAGGGCAACACGGAGAGAGAGAGAGAGAGAGAGAGAGAGAGAGAGAGAGAGAGAGAGAGAGAGAGAGAGAGAGAGGAAAAAGGAGAGAGAGAAAGAGAACGACGACGACGACAGGGAAGGCAAGCGGGAAGAGCACGGCGTAAGCCGCCGGGGTAGACGAAAAATGTGGCCGTCTAAGAGCACACGCTGCGTATGTACGCAACAACCTCGTACAGACGCCGCGTACGTAAAGGCACTTCCGTACGCATGGGCCAGATGCCTAAAGTACGCGCGACGCGGCGGTTGCTAACGTGCGTCTGCGGAAGGTTGCCAAGCGCGCACACGCGCGCGCGCGCGCGCGCGCGAGAGAGAGAGAGAGAGAGAGAGAGAGAGAGAGAGAGAGAGAGAGAGAGAGAGAGAGAGAGAGAGAG